TACCTATATAGCAGTGTTGTCCAAACTTGGCCACTTTAAGATGAGTGGACATGATGGGCTTTTGTCTATACCTGATTTGCCATCCAGAGCTAGTTGCTTCCATTACCTATATAGCAGTGTTGTCCAAACCTGGCCACTTTAAGATGAGTGGACTTCAACTCCCAGAATTCCCCAGCCTCCAATTCTCGGAGTTGAAGTCCACTCATCTTAAAGTGGCCAAGTTTGGACAACACTGCTATATAGCCATCTACATACTCTTCTGTATTTGAAAGTGTAAAAGTACTTTTGCACATAAGGAATCCAATGCTAAGTAAGTAGGCATGAGATGTAAAATGACTTTAGTTAAAATTAGGCACATTTTCAGATTATAAATATATAACAATCATAGCATTGGAAGGAACCTAAGAGGTCATTAGGTCCAACCCCCTGCACACTGCAGGATTCACTACACTGCCCCAATAGATGACTATCCAGCCTTTGTTTGAAAACCCCCAGTGAAGGGGAAGAAACCACTCCATGCCGTAACCTATTCCATTGACTGATCTTAATATCAAGAAGTTGTTCCTAATGTCTAATCTGTATCTACATCCTTGAAGTTTCATCCCATTAGTTCTAGTTTTAGCCTTTGGAGCAAGTGAGAATAAGTCTATACCCTCTACAGTGTGACAGTCCTTCAGATATTTGAAGACAGCCATCATGTCCCCTCTCAACCTTCTCTTCTACAAGCTAAACATTCCTGTCTTTTAACAATTCCTCATAGGACTTGGTTTCCAGTCCTTTCACCATTTTGGTAGCCCTTCTCTGGACTTGCTCCAGTTTATCAATGGAGAGTTAAATGGATCTCTGAAGTCAGAGGTGATACTCTAATAATTTGGTGTTGGGGGGCTAAGGTAGAGGAGGGCATATGTATGCAAAAGTAACTACTCATGAATAGAACATGCTACTTCCAGCAATGAGCTTCTTTCAGATAGAGGGCTTTACATCAGATGCTGTCGTCCTTCCTCCTCCTCTCAGCTGGTGACTGATCTGGGTTGAAAGGCCATTTAGGTGTATTTAATTAATAGCCTTAATTCAGATGGTGTTCATCCAATCTGATCTGACTGCAAGATAATTTAGGTTTAAGTAGGCCTTCTTTCCTGATTTGCTTTTCCTTGGAAATAAATACATCATCTTTCTACCATCTGATATTCAGTGTGATGCCATTAACATGAGCTGTACAGCTGCACTGATGAATTTAGATCAAAGTCCTGGGGAGAGAATCCTAGGCTAATGGATTCCAGTGTTACGGCCTTTCTGAATTAATGCAGAAGGCTTAGTGGAATTACTGTCCCATCTTCTTTCACTGAGGACTTCCCTTCAGATGAGACTATGACATACACGTAGTCTTCGCTTAATGACCATTTGTTTAGCGACCATTTGAAGTTACGATGGCGCTAAAGCTACTTATGATAGGTCCTCACGTGACTGTTGCAGTGCCCCTGGAGTCACATGGTCGCGATCCGGGCACTTGGCAACCAGCTTGCACTTATGATGATTGCGGCATCCTGAGGTCATGTGATCACCATTTGTGACCTTCCCAGCTGGCTTCCAGCAAGTAAAATCAATGGAGAACTGCGTGATTTGCTTAACGACCATGTGATTCACTTAATGACCATGGTGATTTGCTTCACCACCACCACAAAAAATGTTGTAAAATCAGGTGCGGTCACATGCCTCGCTTAATGACCACCTCACTTAATGACAAATGTTCCGGTCCCTATTGTGATTGTTAAGCAAAGACTACCTGTATTTGTATGATATTCTTGCTATGACTGTTTCAGTTTGTAGTTGGAGAAATGACCATAAAGAGTGGGAAAGTATTCTATCCAATTCTTTACCTCATGAAAGAGTTCAATTTATTAAAGTATATAGAATGGGCTTACTTAAAAAGAATACCAGTCTCCATAATATAATTGCTATATACATAACTGCTATCTGGGAGATTTTAAAAATCTTTTAAATTGACTTGCAATTGTAAGTTTGGCCCAGGGCACACTAACTCTGTTCTTTTCCCAAAGCTTTATAGACTTCACAAACTTCAAATTGCCTTGTTACATATTTCTATGATAACTATGCTGTGCACAAACAAAACTAACGTTCCTCACCATGGTTAGATGTGTTGGAAACACTATGGCCAGATACCCCAAGTTCCTGCTCAATTTGGGTTTATAGCTTCTCAGAATTTGTGAGCAATTTCAAGACCCTTCCAGTCCCTTTTTATAGTTTTTTTCAATCATACCAGAACTGGACTGGACTTTATAGAAGACTACAAATCATAATAGCTGTAAAAAAAGATCAGCTTTCCCAACCAGAAATACAGTCTTTAATTCCCAGTACTTCCTAATTGGCCATTGCTGAGAATTCTAAAAATTGAACTCCACACATTTGAAGGGTTTGGTGAAGCTGGCTGAATGTGTGCCTATAAAGGAAACCATGTACAAGTGAGGAAAGTTTATCAGTGGTGCTAGACTTATAGTTCCATTGATTATTTTCCAGAAATTTTGCACATACCCGTCCTTTGATAGGTAAAACCTAAATAGATATTAATTTGTTTTGTGTTGATGTTAACTGTGCTTTATTGGTAAAAATTTATGTTACATTTTAGAGGAAACTTCCAGGAAACTTTGTGTAGTTACATTGCATATTTTTGTAGTGCTGAGGACTTTTTCCCCCATGTGGTCTTCTGGGACAAAAACTTTTGTCTCACAGTGACAAGGAGTCCCACTATAATAAATGTTCTTGAGTAAGACAGGCTAAGTCTGGTTCTTCATGGATTTAAGAATGAATGAATGAATGAATGAATGAATGAATGAATAAATAAATAAATAAATAAATAATCTTTCTTGGCCTAAGCAATTCACCATTTATAGTAATGTAGCGGGCCCTTATACTTTGATTTTCTTAGAGCAACTGCCATCTGGGAGATTTAAAAAATCTTTTAAATTGACTTGCAATTGTAAGCTTAGTCCCAGAGCAAAAGCAATTCATATGCTAAAAAGGAGTCCATTCTTTTCCTAAAGCTTTATGGACTTACACACACTTTAAGTTGCCCTGTCACATATTTCTATCGTAATTATGCTGCACATAAAATAGATTTGTACATATGCCTACTGGCTTCACCAGTGTAACTGGTATGAAAGTCATCTCATAATATTGATTCTCATATGAGTTTGTTGCCATCAGCCTTATTCATTATAAAATGTTGGGAATAAGTGTACCCCATAATATGTTTAATATGGAAATCAAACCTTAAATATGGTAGATACAATTAAATTTGGTTCAATTTTCAATTTCCTGAACAAAGATTTGGGGGGAATCATCTTGAAATGTTCAACATGCGCATAGTTTATAACAAAACTTATTTATAGAACAGAAATTATCAAAATGTTATAAATATTACATAGGATCATAAATGTTAATGTCACATCTGCCCTGTTTCTTTGAGAAAGCTCAATTGTATAGAGAAATATTTTGGAGAGTTTTTTTTTTTGTCACACAAATGCACCCCTTTCATCATTGTTTTTAGTGATAGAGAATGTAGCTCCCATTTAGTTATCCTTAAAATCATACCTATTAATCTGAAAATGTTATAGCATGCATATTAGCTGGGAGAATAAAGTGTACATGTAGATTACTGTCTTAAAGTAGTGTTTTTCTCCACTTAACTATAATTCAGTTGTTATTCATAGGATTAATTTGTACAAAACATCCTAATGAAAATGTAGGTTTTAAGGAAATATATAACTTGACATGATTTTACCCATTAAATCCTATCTCTTACATTCTTGTGATTATACTTTTGATATGCTATCAGGAGTATAATCTTCTGCCAGATGGTTTTCTGTTATATTTTGAGAACCTTATCAGATTGCATGCTGCAGAATAGAAATTAGGTAATGTGGGTGATTGAAAGTCTTAGATGCCAGAAGGGAGACATGGGCTGCAACTTAATGCAGACCATGATGTTGCTGCAGTAGAGCAAATCTATGCGTGAGAAGCTCATTAAAAATGTAAGCGCTGTAGGCGAATCAGCAATGAATGAAGTCATGGAATTTGTTTGCCCTTGGCTATAGTTCTCCAAGACTAGATGTCAGCTTCACTTTTTCCAGGTAGACAATTTTCTGGAGTAGAGCATGGGTTAATTAAGAACTGCAACTTTCTTCATTGAGGGAGACCTGTGGCAGTACAATGTAAGAATTTAATGAGTGCCAGCCTACATAAGAAGATTTATGAAAATCCCTCTTTAACTTGCAAGTCTCTTTATAATCCAGCAAAACCTTGATGCTATGAACAACAATTTACTACTGCAAAATACATAATTGCATTTGTCTCTTCCTTAGTGGCTCCAGAAGTTTACGGAGACAGGTATTAGGTACGTAAATCATTAGGAGAATAGCTTCATTTCCTCTTCTGCTCAATAAAAGTTTCTTCAGATAGGCTTAAAATTATATGGGTTTGTCAGTTTTCAGAAACTGGTAAATTAAATTTCTAATGCTCAAGTGGAAAAGACACGAGGCTCATGCAGATGCTTTGCTGATAAGTATGATTAACAGATTTTTTCCCCCCCTTAAGAAATAAACTGTTTAACATTAACTTTTCATGGGATTTTCAGATCTGCTTTGCACAGGATTTGGTCTTCTTTTGAAAGATAGCAGTAGTTAATATAACATGCACAATCTTCCTTAGTAAGCATCAAAATCCTCCTTTCCAAATCTTGTACTCTTTCAGTTCCCATAATTTCCATTATGGCTTGAATATTGAATTAAGTTCAATAATTTGAAAAGCGCTAGATTTGAGGAAGGACTCTTGATTCAGTTCAACTGGGAAAGTGATGAAAATCATGTCTATCTTAGCTTTTTTCAGTTAGGGCCCATATGTTGTAGAACTCTTACCCCTTGAGGTATTTGTAGCCCCTTCTAATACTCCAAAAGGCCATTAAAACAAGCCTGTTCCACCGGGTTGAAGTTACCTGGCAGGGAAGATGCCATGATCACGAAGGTGGTTTTCCCAGGGTAAGGCTCCTCATTGCATTCTGAGCATGCTGATCCGTACAAATTCCCCTAATGCAGGAAACGCGGCTGCATAATTTGTGGTAGTGAGGGACTGCTAATCCATAAAACAACCCTGTTCCACCATGTTTTTCACTTGAATCGATTGTTTTGTGGCATGCATTTTGGGTGGTTTTTCTTCTTCAATAGGATTTTAATTTTTAGGGGGGATTGTTTAAAGAATACTGTGATTAAGTCTATACTGCTCAGAATCTGTGCATTGGGGCAGGTTACCAAAAAGCGCTTATATAAATAAATAAAATATCTTGGTTCTTTATTTGCTAGAAGAAGGTCCTAACAATGAGCTCCAAAAGCCCACCTCTGTCAACCCCAATGCTGAAATTTCACTATTAAGTGAATTGTGAGAGATTCCCTGCCCTTATTTTCGTTTAGGTTTTTCTTCCCCTGTGAAGAGATTACATTTCTTCACACAGTATAAGGCTGTTCTTCTAGGAGGTTCATCAACTGACAATGTTGCCAGCAACCTGAGTGTTTTGTATAATCTGTTGACAGTAGTGCGTGAGTTGGGGGGGGGGATGAATGAGTACTTTATGCTTTTCCTTACGTTTTTCAACATTCTACTTTCTACTTTTTATTTCTTAATCAGTTTGGTCTTGTGGTTAAGGTGCTGGATTAGAAACCAGGAGACCATGGATTCTAGTCCTCTCTTAGGCATGAAAACTAGCCAGCTGTCTAGTCAGTCACTCTCTCTCAGCCCAACCACCTCAAAGGGGGATTATTTGGGGGGAAATAAGAGGTGAGACCTTTATGTATGTAACAACTCATTGAGTTATAAAAAAATTAAGGTAATAATAATTATTATTTTATCTGCTCATAAATACAGCAGCCTTGGTGTGTGTGTATGTATGTGCGTGTCAAATGAATCAGTCTGATGAAAGCAGTGTTGTGCCATAAGCCTTGCTCATCTCCAACTTTTTGTTAATTACTATAAACAATATACAGTTACAGTTTTCAAATATGTGTAGGCACAAAAAGAGAAAGGAAGAGGTCCTCAGCAGAGTAGTGCTCTTTGAACCACCTCCAATTTCTTTTTCTTCTCTACCTTTGTGTGAAAAATAGCCTTATCCTTTGCCTATTATTCCTTCAAGTGACTTTTCATGCAGACCTTTACGAAGCAAATGAGATATTATAGCCTTTGACCTTGTCCAGATTTCTGTTGGTGTCTGCTTAGAGTGCTTGTCTTGGCATGACTGCGTTCCAGCTTCTTCTATTCAGACTGGCCATATCACGTTCTTATCCTCTGATTGTATGTGCTTTTTAAACAATGTTCTCTCCTTCAAGGCGTTTGGCAATAGAAAGGGAATAAGATTGCATATTAATAGTAGTATGTGATGATATACAATTCTGCTTCTCTTTTCGTTAGGCAAGAAGATACTGTGAAAATACTTAAGCACTGCTGGCTGTTGGACAAGGCTGATAAAACTGTGTCTCAGTCCAGTTGATTAATCAGTTCTCTAACAGAGCAGGCCAATGTATTAATAATATCCTGCTCAGATTATTGTAATGGATTATATGTGGGTCCCCCCTTTGAAGACAGTCCTGAAACTTAAGAATATGGTTGTTAAAGTACTAACTGTTGGAAGATACTATAATAATTTTATCCTAATGTATGCAGTGCCAATTGAAGGGTACAGTATATGACGTCCCTAGGCACAATTGACTGATGGCATGACCTTCATATGATACAAAAAATTGCACTTTTAGAATGATTTGGAAGGAAGAGTAGCATTCATGCCCATAAGCTTTGGCACCCTAGGCCAGTGCCTACTCAGCTTTAGCCCAAAGCTGACTCTGGTTGTATCATTCCCATTGGCATCTGGTTCATTAAAAATGTTGCTTTTTATCCTGCTAAATGGCCTAAAACCATTATATATAAGGACTTCCTCTGTTCATATGTTCTTATCCTTGCCTTGAAATAATCAAATAACATCCTGCTCCAGTCCCATCCACATTCAGAATCAGTGGAAGCTAATCATGCATGCACCTTTTCTGTGGGGGTCTTTCCTTGATGAATCTGCTTGATGCTGTCCGTTTTGGGATATCATGAGATTTAAATGCTTATTATTTTTTTAAAAAGCTTACTGTTTTTTAAAATTCCAAATCAAAGCTATACTTTAAAACAGACTAATTCTGGATAATTAAAAAAATCTCTAGTAAGATAAATACATTGATCTTACTGATTTTCACCCTCTTCCACGAGCTGATCCCTTTAGTTTAGTCCTGCCTCCTTTAGTTCCTGAAGCTATTTTCTTAACAAATATGAAATCCCAACCAAAGGAAAATTGCCCACCCCTGTTCTAAAGGAACTGTGCTTTGAGTAAGTCTGGAATCCTAGAAATTCCTCACTACCTAGAAATGGTAATGGTGGTAGTAGTGATGATGATGATGATGACGATGATGTTTTTAATAATTAAAGAACAACACAATACTGTAGAAAGAACAAACAAAAATAATGACATTTTTATTTTTGATGTTCTTTGGAAATTCAAGTTCCAGCCAAGAACCTAGGTATTATCAAGTAATATCTTAAGATATAGAAAGTATCCAGCAAGGTGGGTTTTTTTGTAAACCCACGATTGATATGGCTGAAATATTTAGTTCTTGTAAAAAAATTGTTTAATCTGTTATTCCACCTAAGGTGCCAATAACTGCAGAGATGACTTTGCAATAACTTTTCCATAATCTACCCATTTCAATAATCAGATCTTGTATTTTGTCATTTTTTCCCATTCTTTTTCCTCATTTCTGCTGTCCCTAAGTGTTACCACATCAACAAAAATTGTTTTCTTTTCAATTATTGTTATATCTGGTGTATTGTATTCTGAATTGTAATTACTTTGTATGCAAAGTCTCATAAAATTTTAACATTGTCATTCTCAACAACTTTTTCAATGTTGTGATTATACCACATTTGGGAAATTTGGAAATTATAATTTTTGCACAGATGCCAAAGGATTATAGTGGTTACTCTGTTATGATACTGTTTATAGTCAGTTTGAACAACTGTATCCACCAATTATGTGATCCAGTTTCATCTTTTTCTTTACAAAATCTGCATTTGCTGCTGTTTGATACATATTGAATCCTTGATTACATCACGTTTGTTTGTAATGCTTATTATTGAGCTGCAAACATTAATCCTTTTGTTTCCTTCTTGATATTGCCAGCTAACCATTGCCAGTTTCTGGTTTTATCCACCTTATTTTATGTATTGGCCCTTCAGTGGTTTATTGCTCCAGTTTTCAGAATGATTTTCCAACAATTCACTTTCATGGTTTTTTTTGTTTTTGTTTTGTTTCAGCCACTTTTAGGAGATTTTATTTGCAAACTGCAGTGAGCATTTTCTTATTGCTCGTCTTGGTGTGATCACTTAATCCATGTTTTCTTCTTCACCTTTCTGTTTTACCTGCAGTGAACCAAGGATTATGATGATATTTAATGAAAACTTGCCATCAATCATAATAGAAATAAAGGTATAGTAAAGCCCCACAAGAATAACAAGGAAGGAGAGGAACAGTACTAATCAGGGAGACAGTTTATTTAGGTTTTGTGGGGAAAACGATAGGCTGGGTTGGCAAATCTTTGGGGACCCGGCCTAGAGGATGCTGTATTACATTACAGTATGTATTTGTATGTATGCATTTGTTAGGCTGATATTCTGCCTTCCCTCTAGGAACACAAAACAATATACATAGTATTCCTTCCTGTATTTTTTTTCCTGTAGCAGCAACCCTGTTAGGTTGAGGTGAGAGAGTGATTAGTCCAAAGTCACCCTGTGAGTTTCCATGGTTGAGAATGGACTTTAATCCAAGCCTTCATGGTACTAATCTACAGGATATTTGATGCATTTCGAACTTTAGCGCTGTATTTGCGCTGAATGGTGAGACTCATGTTTCACTACAAAAGTGTTTTACTGTTACTCTTAACTATATTCCAAGGCCAGTTTAAAGACTAGCTTCTTTAAATGAATAAATTTTAATATTTTTTTCTAGAAGTAATTCATTTTTCTCTAGAAGCACATGCATTAGCCGCTTTTTGGTAATTAATTCAAAGTTGAGTTTGTCTTTCTGAGGTTGGGTTTTTATTTGGAATTTGTCCTGGAGAGCTAAGAGTGCATAGGTGTCTTAAGAAGGCAAAAATAGATTAAACCTGAAAATATCTTTGCAATACACATTCTTAGGCATTCGCAGCAGACTTGGGGGTTGTCTGCCAAATGTCATTCCAGAAGAAACCTGGAAATGTCAAATTCTGATCGGTCTTTTGTTCATTTCTTCCTTCAGGAAGGAAATGTTATAAATGTAACAGAAAATTGGCACCATTTTCATAAAATGGACAATTATCCAAAGTCTTCCCTCTAATGTAGTAGCTTCTTGGGCATCACTTCTCAAAATCTTCTTTATATCATAATTTTTAAAAGTCTATATATTAAACTGATATGTGACAACAGTCACCCAGGCTAAATCATTTCTAAGAATATACTATATTACCAACATATCTGAATATGGATGGAAATGTCACTTCTAAGAAAACACTATAAAAATGTCAAAGTTCTTCAGACAAAGCCTTCCTTGGGCACATATGACATATCACCAAATATAAATTATTTTGCAAAAGTCTATGATGGATTCATTGTTAGTAGGTTTGGGACAGTGATAGCACACTAGGGTCATTTTTGGTTGTGCAGTTCAAAATAATGGAATCCATTTTTGTCTGTAGGGGTATGTGTGCATGTAGTAACAGGGTAGATGGCTCTGTATTTGTTTCATTGTAGAATCAGAAATTTAAGGTTAGGGCTAATGTGCAGCAGCAGCAGTTAGACTAATTCCATTATTGAGAATTGTTAGAGAAGACTTTCATCCACATGTTTCAGAGAAATCTATTGTCCTGCATCTGGGATACTATGTACAATTTTCATAATCCTGTTCTCAGAGGTAGATCATTGAATGGTGGCAGGCTTTGCCCCACCCTAGGCTCTATGTCTAACCTATTTCATTAATGATTTTAATAAAACATACCGTTTATTTTATTTAAATATAATTGTATTTAAATCTATTTAAAT